TGAACCCGGGAGGCAGAGGTTGCAGTGAGCATAGATCACACCACTGCACTCCAGCCTGGGTGACAGAGCGACACTCTGCCTAAAAAAAAAAAAAAAAAAAAAAAAAAAAGAATAATGCTTTCTGCTATCACAAATATCCAAGGACTTCAAAGAGAAAAGTTTGTGTAACAAGAGTACTTGTTCCTTCCCATTTGGGTTTCAAGATATAATTTGAACACTGGGGTTGGCTAGAAAGAATAGAAGTTACTAACTCTAATGAAAGAGTTTTCTGGAGGGATGATCTACAGTTTAGTCTGGTGTCCCTCGAGCTAACAGTAATAAGCAAAGATCATAAATGTAGAATTCTAGAGCTGTTGAGCTGAAAGAGAGCTTTCAGTTTGCTTATCTAATAAACTTTACAGATGAAGCAAAAACACAGAGGTGAAGTGACTCCTTAAAAGAAAAGTCACAAGAAGGACCTAAGTTTCCCAATTTCAAGTTGCTTCCACCTTCCCCCAGGTTGTCCTTGGAGGTTCCAGTACCACATCTAGTAGGGAGGGCAATTACAACAACGAGAATCCAATTACAACAATGATATGTTGCTACACGCACAGCTATCCCACAAACAATGTTATGCAGCTACATGCATGGCTGTCCTACAAACAGGTATATATATACTTTTTTTTTTTTTTAACAGGGATTCTTTTAGTATAGAAACACGGGGACTCTTTAAGGATAGGAGGAGTGAAAGAAATTTTATAAAATTCATAAGAATGACTCTACGGCTGAGGATAATTATCTCTGCAATATCATCACCATATAAATTCATATACTTACTGTTGATTTGAATCTTATTCTCGGAGAATATGCATCAGCCAGAAAGTTTGAAAAACTTTTTCCAAAAAGAAAGACTTAAGGATATTTTTGGATCTTAAAGCCAGTATATTTGTGGATAAGCATTTAAAACAAGAATTCTCACCAGATACTTTACAGCTGATACACTAGATGTGGCTATTGGTCATTAAAATGCTTTTTTTTTTTTTTTTTTTTTTTTTTTTTTTTTTTTTTTTTTTTTTGAGACGGAGTCTCACTTTGTCGCCCAGGCTGGAGTGCAGTGGCGCGATCTCGGCTCACTGCAAGCTCCGCCTCCTGGGTTCACGAAAATGCATTTTTAATCTAGTATCATCATTTCTTCTCCTCCCTGATTTATTCATTCAACGAACATGTTTTGAGCAACTAGTACACGCATTTTAGGACCATACACATAGGCAGAAGTGAAAGACACAGAGGTAATTTCTGCGCACATATGTATAGTGCAAAGAAAATACGTGTCTGTGATTAAGTAGGGAGAAGGGGGGAGAAGGACTAAGAAGAAAGACACGAAGGAGAAGCTGGGCTTGAGAGTAAGTGTGATTTGGATAGTGGGGTGGGATGGAGAGGGGATGTAGGAATGAAAGGACATTTGTGTACATGGCATACATGAGTAAATGTAAGGGGGAAAATGGGTAATGAGGTAAAGGTGAGCTGGCCATACTGAATGGCATCCCGAGCTTATTTTGATGATAGCAGGATGAGGTAGAAGGACAGGAAGGCTGGGCCCAGATGTAAAAGACCCTGAATATTGTATTCAGCGTTTGAGCTTGCTTGGGTAGGCAATAGATACCTGAGCAAAGAATGACAAAATTCAGAGGGTGTGTGGGAGAGAGGAGGAACTAAAGACAGCAACATTGATTAGGAAGTTATGGCAATAGTCTAGTTAATGAACTATTTCTAGAAATAGGATGGTGGCGGTGAGAATGGATAGGAAAGATGTGATAGCTAAGTGATCTTTAAGTATGTCTGATGGACAGAGAAGTGGAATAATCTCCCTCCATTTCTTAGAGCTATTCTAAGCTTAGTAAGTATTGCCCGTTGTCATATGAGAACACAAAGTACTTAAGGAGGTATAATTTAACTCTCACTGTGGCTAAGGAAGGGGGTCTTTAGGCCTTGCATAACACTATATCCATCTCAGAAGCACACCTTTCCATCAGAAGAGAAAAAAAAGTGACAACTGTGTCCTAACCTATCCTCACTAGGAACTACCTACCGAGAAAACTGCTCACATGGGAGGAGAAAAAAGGTCAAATGAGAAAGTTATCACTTATAAAATTTCATACTGCATTCATGTGGAAACATTTATGCTTTGCCAAGCCCTTCCTTACTTATTTTCTCATGCTCCCTAAGCCAGTCCTTGAGGTATAAAGGGTGGGAATTACTGGCCCCATTTTCTAGAAGAGAGATTCAGTATTTGCCCATGGGCACATGAATCTCTAGGATTAGCAGCTCCGAACTCCCTTTACAGGACTCTTACCACTGCACCTTGCAATCCTATTGCTGTGTGGTCAGTTAAAGGCAAGTGGTCTGAACTTTACAGGGCTTAAAATAGATGCTGCTTGGATAAGATACGGGTGCCGTGAAAGCCCAGCCAGGGGAGCAGATAAAGGCTGCCCAGAAAATGTCCTCCACTGAATCAAACACAATCCAGAGCCCAGCTGGGAATTCCACTGCAGCTTTGGGGTTAGGAACTGTTTATTTTTATTTCTTGGCTCAAAGCTTTCATTCCTGTCCTTGTCTCTTCTTGTCTCCCCTCCTCTCTCTCTCTCCTGCTGGCAGTCATCATCCTGCTCCATACACACACGTCTCAGCATCGAATACCACCATCTAAAAATACATCTCACTATAACAAGCTTAGCCTCCTGCAGGTGGCACAATTTAAAACTGATATCAAAAGAACATATCACGATCAGCCTTTGATTCGTTTACCCTGCATATTAAAGACCCAGAAATAAAATAACCACAGTTCACGGAAAAAAAAAATTAATGCAAAGTGAGAGACTCTTTCAAGTGGCATTTTCAAGCCCAGTTTTTGTGGTGGGCTTATGTAATCAGACATAATTGTCTGCACATGTTTGGTTACACTATTTCAGAAATTATTCCCAGCCCATCAGATGATGTCAGAGGGGTCAGTGTTGACCTTCCCACTCCCCAGAGTCTGACTGCTGCTCTCTCTCTTCTATGCTGCCCAATTAGGAAAGAAAGATGCCAAATAACAGAAGTGTCAGCCCCATTTCCTGCTCAGTCATGTGGACTTCCTTCAGTTTCCTTTTTGAGTATGGCCTGATTCTTGTTCCTACACTCTTGTGCTTTCCTCATTTTCTTCTCTTCTGCTTATGCACAGAGCAAAGTTTTCTCTGGAAGAACTTATATCCCCAAAAGATTCAGGAAATACATAAATGTATGTGTGTGTAAACCTGCACTCAGACAAATACCCAAACAACTTCATTCATTTAGAATTCTTTTGGAGAATACACTTTCCCACGATGGCTTCTTGTATTTTTCCAAGAAGTCTTCCCAGTAAGTCAGCTATCAATGCAGTACTAGTAGTTAATGTAGTTAGAACAAGCACAAGATGGGAAGAATCTCCCTGTCCTGAAAATCCTTCCTAGAAAATAACATGATTGTCCAGAGTATGTTCAACAGGGTTAACTTTGACTTCTCTCCTTCCATTCCAGAAAACACTTGATAAATATTGTATAAACTCAGAGAAGATTCTGCCTGAAAATGGTAGACAACAAAGACTCCCTAAGGTAAGTGGCCTTAAAAGTTACCAAGACAATCAAAATCTGCTGCCTGACTTCCTTCTGCAACATCCTTACCAAGCAGCTAGCCAAGCCATGTTTGAATTTTCCAAGGATAGGGAACTCTTAAAGGCAGCCAATCCCTTCTTCAGAGGACTCTTACTGTGAGAAAGGTCCATCAGATGTTGAAGTGAAACCTGTTTCTCTGAATGCACTACTCAGTAGTCCTATCCTATCCTAACCCCTTTAGATCATTCATGATGACTCTAATAGTGTTAACATACCTTACACCACTATAAACCCCCCCAAATTTTCTCTTTTATGAGGTAAGAATTCCTAATGTGTTCAACCATTCCTCATCTGATCTGAGAAATAACTGATATTCTCTTAATCCTCCCAAACCAGACAGAATCATGTATGACTTGACCAACGCAGAGTTGAAGGGGCCATCACCTCCTTCACTGCAGACATTATTACCTCCATTAGTATAGATTACATTAATAAATCATGCCTAACTCTTCTTCCTTCGATCCCTCATTTACTTTAATCATAGCAACAGAAACAAACAATAAAAAACGATCACCACCCACCACCCAAACCTTTCTTCAATAGTTAAGGGCCAATAGTTCTACTCAAGCCTTCTGTGACCTCTAAAAGCCCAGGAATCATTCCTGATCTAAAAAACGGCCTCCTTTTCCAGGCTGCCCTCTTGTCCCAGCTTGCTGTCACCGCTGCTGAGAAAGCAGACGATTGATCTGAGAAATCAAGTTGGATTGCTGTCCCAAATCTACACTCGGTTCTCCTTGTGTCTGTCTGATCGATTTCACTCTGTGCGACATAGCTTGTCGCTATGAATTTTCATGCTAGTCAGGAGCCGCCAGCACACCCAAGAACAAGTAGAAGATGGTCTGCACCCCTCCCCATCCCTTCCACATACCCAGCTTCTGTGTTAATTTTCTTTTTAATTGTCCATAGACAGAATGAAAAACAAGTATTTCTTTTTTTCAGACCACAGACGTGGATGCAATGGATTTTGGCTACTAGTTTCACTTCCCAGGTTCCCAGGCCCCAGCTTGTGGTCACATTTCCTACCACTGTTGTACTAGGTGTCACCTGTTTAGCAGCTCCCCTAGCTGAACGCATGTGGCCGCAGGTGCCATGCAAACACTGATTGCGTCTGACAGCCCTAGACGCCAGCTGCCTGCATGAAGCCTGCCCAATCGCCACTTTTTTTGTGGGTAGAATGCTGCCGATGGCATGACCGATACAGAAACAAGAAACTAGGTGACCGTAAAGCTAAGATAAGTCCTACTAAGTGGCATTCTGGGCCCTACGGCTTTGAAATAATTGGTAGTGAAAGAATAAAAACAAAGCAGGGGGTGGGGGGGCTTGTTTTCTTACACTGATGCCCTGCGGACTGTACATCTGACTGGCTGCGAGTCCATCACTGTATCCTCCTGTCTGGCTGATAACATGGCGAAGGGTATCCACCTAAACAGATGAACAATAACAGAGAGAAAATTAGTCAGAGAGGCGCAGGAAAAGGGAGGCAGATCATCATCAGGCAGGCCACCATTTGGGCATGCCATATTAACGTAATCATTTTGGAGACAGTTGTCCTGGGAGAATCCATTAGGAGGAGGCTAGCCTCCTCTGTATGCCAATCCATAATGAGTTCTGAGTTCGGTAAGCAAGACAGTAAAATGGTAAAAGAAAACTGGGATCCCCACATTGAAACTAGTTCAACAAGTCTGCATGAGATGGTAGGGAGTAGAATGCTAGAGGAGCTGGAGGGGAAAGCATGAAGGACTTTTCTCTTCTCCCCATTTTTCTTCCCTACAGATCAACCTATATAGCTGTTCCTTTGCTGGGTATCCTACAAAAACAAAGGTTCTGTTTAGAGGAGGTTTGAGCAGTCATCTCACAGAGAGAGCAGTACTTGATTGAGACCTTGTATTTTTTGAGGACTTAAGTGATGGCCAGTTGTTCAGTCACTTGACCAAAGCCTGACCATATCACTTTGAATTTGTTTCCAGGCAATGTTTCTCGAGAAAGGGGTGAATTGCTGACCCGTTGGTCTGTTCTGGGCTTGTAATGCTTCTTGTTCCACATGGAGGGTGGGAAACTAGACCGACATGGCTCAGAACTTCCCTAATAATTCTGACCCATAGCATACTACTTGACCCTCTCACATCACGTTTCATGCTGAGCTGGTAGGATGGCTTCTGGAAATATCATGAAGGAAATCTGCTTACTATGGAGCACTAAGATTTGATATCACATGGCTTGATTTTGCTTCCCAATGTGGACGTCTACTCATCACCAGAAACGCAAGTCCCTTGACCTTAAGGATGACTAAGAAATTAATTTAGTCAACCTGGCTGGGTGTTTTTAAAGCTTAAAATGAAAACATCAGATAGTAATATATTTGCTTGCTTGTTAATTGCCTCTTTATATGGTAAATACTGAGCACGAGAAACCAACACATGAGAGGGAGACCTGGAAATTGAGATAACATTCTGACACCTCCTCCTTTTCCCTTTGCTGAATAAAGAATATGCTGGTTCCACTTGCCTGATGTGTCTCGGTCACCTTGCCCTGTGCTTACTGTTCTTCTTCTGCCTTCCCGGTACAACTGAAAAGCCAGAGCCAAATGCATTCACAAAGTGTGGACGAGATTCCCCATGACAATGGTTGTCTTGATTTTGGTTTGGTCGTTGGTAAGGTTTTGGTTCTGATCTATCTTTCTCTCTCTCTCTGGACAGAAGCAGGAAGTCCAATATGACTGAGGGCTCTTGGACTCTAAGGCATTCACCTGGCGGCATATTGGCTGGGTCCCTACCTGTGATTGCACGTTGGCTCCAACCTGGGCCCCTTGGTAAGAATCCCCATTGAGTGACTGCACGCTCATGAACAAATCTCCAGAGTTTGACATGTTAAAAGAACTGGAAGAACCTGGAAAGGAAAGAGTGAGGCACCTGAATCACAGAAAGGAAAAGGCTCAAACCCCGCAACTAACAGCCAAGAGGAAGAATGACATGCAAAGCAACCCCCCAAATAAAAACTAAAATAAAAATAACACCAACAGAGTCTGGTTAGTAGCATGAAGAACAGAGCAAGCAATAAAGGGTGCATATTGTTTATGTTATGTGAAGCCATACCTTACTGCAAGTTGTCAATAGAACTGCTTCCCCTTAGCAACTTCAAGCTGAGAAAGGGAACATTTATTCTTCCCAACTTAGTCTATTTGGATTGTAGTCTCTAGACCTAGGATCTCTCTTCTATGCCTCTAAAATTCTAGTGTTGGCCAGGGGACCACAAGATGGAGGCTATGGGCTGGTCAGTGGTATTTCTGCCACCATGATAGAGCACATAAACTATTCAACTGGATTCTAAATATGCCATTGCTAAACCATCCCCTCCCCTGTGAGGAGCAGCACCTGGGAGGGAATGCATGAAGGCACTGTCACATACTAGGACTATGTATGGGTCTATTGACATTCTTAATTTCTAAAATGAAGGTGAAATTTCTTGCAAGGTGGCAACAGCCCAGGGAACCTTGAGGACTGTAAGAATATGTGGGAGTGACCTACCCTTCTCTGCCACCTGCAACTATGGAGAAAGCAAAATAACGGGCCAGGAATTCTCAAGCATGCATAAAATATGAAATGTTGTTGCTGCTAATAATAATAATAATAATAATAACAGTAATAAGTGGGCCTCAAGAAGGGCCATTAGCCATCTGCTTTCACCTCCCAGAGATGGAGGCATCATCATCCAGTGAGTTAGCCTAAGGTCCATCCTGGCACCACCCAGGTTCCACTGGTTCCACTGTGGTGAACCTAGCCCACATTCAACCTAAGCATAAGGGCTTGCAAAAGCTTAATATTATTCCGAAGTCGTCGTGCAGCTCAGCGCATTAGGAAAGAAAGCTCAACGTGCAAGGTTTGGTTAAAACATGACGTTAGCCTGGAAAAGGAGAGACCTCAGGGACCCAGGTCAGTTGCACTCTATTATTTCCAACCCTATGTTGCTCAAATTGTGCTCTTGCCCTCATATTCTGAGACAGCCATCATCAGTGTGGAATCGCCCAACAATGATTCATGCCTCAGCTCTGACACTTTTCTTTTCTCCTCAGGTAGGGATTTGAGCTCTGAGAGCTTCCCTGCCCCACATGAAGAGGTGCAGCTAAGCAGAAGAGAGGACTTTCTTTCCCCATAGAAGGACCACTTAACAAATGACAAACTCTAAACTCTGACACAATGCACTATTTATTTATGGTATCTATCTATGTTATTCATGGTGTTTTCATACTTTAAAGGCAAGAGCCATTTAGAGAAAGCTGACGATTTATAAACCTGGGTACAACTCCACATTAAAACAAAACAAAACAAAAAGAACTCAAATTCTGTTTGTCCTGTGGGATGTTCATTCACATGCTTAAAAAAATAAAAAAAAAAAAAAAAAAACTAGCTATTTTACTAAATAAAACAATCCTCCACCTAACTCCCTTCTCATTCCTTCTTTCCCAGGAAAAAATAAATGCTTTCTTTGGGGGTTAGAGGAGGACTCAAGCATCAACCAAAGGACTATGCCATCTCCATAGCTCTGTGACTTGTCCTGTCTCATCTGGCCCACATTTCTCTGTTTAGCTTATCTGAAAGGAATTGGAAAGGTAGGGCCTTAGCAAAACAGGTGTAAGATCTGACCAGGTGTGGCTTATACCCAGTCAGTGGGACAAAGTCTTTGGTCTGTAACTTCCTTCCATTAATATGGGACTATCTTTGAAACTGTCTTCCTGAACATATGAATGAAACAATGTGTGGCACAGATCACATTCTCACATGTAGATATATAATATCTCTAAATAGTAGTACTATCCCTCTCAAATATTTTTTGTAATCATAGATATAACCTAAATAATAAAAGCCATTTTGTAATGTATTATAATACATGCTTACATCTAGATGTCAACAGAACCAAGAAAAATCAGCTCCAAGAACCCAAATTATAATTTGTTATATGTCATCAGACTCCCCCACCCAACACCCCAGAGTGTTCAGTTTCAAGCTCAGGTATTTTACTTCTCTCCCATCATCACTAGATGATGTCTCATCATCCAGAGAGTCAACCTTAAGGTCCATCCTAGCACCACCCAGATTCCACCGGTTCCACTGTGGTAAATCTAGCCTAAACATAAGGACTATAAGTTTGACCAACGTTTTTTTGGAAATTAGTACACAAACTTAGAAATGGGAGAAACCCCCAAAAGGCTACATGATATCCAATGACATGGCATCCATGGAATCATGAAGGCATGGAATGTGTCATTTAAAAGATATATACTGCAATTGACACAGATGATTTAAAAAATACATGTGCATAGATAAACTGTAAATACGTCTGGCTGCCTAATGTACACAGAGATAAATATGCACATATAAATGTACTTCACGTAGAAGTGCATTTGTATCAGAGCAGCAACTGAAGAAACAGTCCCTTGTGCTCTTGGCTGTGCTGTTTCAGCATTTCGTTATGTCTGTACACCCATGTACAGTATTACCATGGCTTCTCACTCTCTGGTAAGCATCCAGAAGCAGTGATTGTGCTGAGGGAAGAGACCAGGTGCCACTAATACCACAATAAAGCACACAGAAGTCCACAAAAACATCTTAACTACAAGGGGAGGACATGTTCTTTACCCAGCACTGCAAGTTGGAAAGAATTTATCATGGAATGGATAACCTCCTGGGACGCACACGATTCACTGACAAATAGTGAATGGGCTCTCTTGGAGGTGCTGTGGCATTCTCAAAGAGCTGAAACAGAGTAACTTGGCTTGCTGAGAAGATCATTCAGAAACCTTACCTGCAGGCTGTTTTGAAGCCATCAGCTACTACTAGAAGGACATTTTAAGATGTGGTTGTCAGTTAAAAGGTTCTGAATTTGGTTTAGGAAGGAAGGCAAGCAGCTCATTTAAACTGCCACCCAGACATTTGGGGCATGTACAGAAAACTAAATCTGTACTCAACTAGGCAGAGAAGAAATAATGGATCACCTATGATTCTAATGCATTTGCTTGGGCAAACATCATGATGTGGTAATGTGTTCACATTCATTTTCATTAGACAAGTTCCCGAAAATTGCATTTCTACTCTAAAGAATCTTCAGGAGACTTAACTTTGTTAAAGAAAAACAAAAAAAGTAAAAGCAAAAAACAAAAAAAAATCCATTAATTTCAAAATCCAAAAAAAAAAAAAAAAAAAAAAAGAATAATGATAAAGCTTAAACCTAGAACAGGATCTCTCAACCTTGGTGCTACTGACATTTTGGGCCAAATATTCTTCATTGTGGGGGATTATTTTATGCATTGTAGGGTGGTTAGCCCTACAATGGTTATCCTCTATCCAACAGATGCCAGTAACACCCACCCTTCAAAATTGTGACAACCAAAGATATCTCCAGATATTACAAAATGTCCCCTGGGGATACAGATTTGCCCCTAGATGAGAACCAAAGACCTAGAACAAGAATGGATTTACTTTTTCCTTTTAAGGAACTCTGTGTTTAAATGTATTCACTCAATATTTCTTACAGTATTTTAATGAAGTAGTTGCCATTTTCTGTAGTTTAGAAATCAAGACTTCAGGTAGATTATGTAGCCAGCCTGATTCAGCTTGATAGATTGGACTCTCATATCATTTGAGAGTTCAAAGGATAGGTCCTTTTTACTAGATGGAAGCTTAATTAAGTCCCAGGCGTGCTTGCTTTTCCATTTCCCCTTATGAATTCCAAAATTCACTATTACTTTCTACTTGGGACAAAGCGAAAGAGTAAAGTGTTGTCTGGTTCAATGTGAAAACCCTTCATTAGGTATGTATGTCAAGGTTGCAGAGTTCCAATTCCAGGAGAAATTGTTTTCACTCTTCACTTAAAAATAAAGAGGAGAATCATACTAAGGAAGAACATGAGATAAAACATCAGTAGGATAAATATTTTCACTTGGTTTTAAAAAACAAAATTATAAACATTCTTGTGGGTTTACTAAAGTGTCAGTCAACTTCTCTGGATGTGTTACCTTCTCTCTGTGTGTACTATATAAAAACTTCTCATAGGCCATGAAGGCTCTGAGTTTTAATATAATAACCTTTCATCAATCCTGAAAAACACCAGCCCTCTTTTTAGGGGTTGATATGGTTAGACTTTGTGTCCACACCCAACTCTCGTCTTGAATTGTAATCCCCATAATCCCCACGACCCCCACGTGTCAAAGGGGAGAGACCAGATGAACTTAATTGAATCATAGTGGCAGTTTCCTCCATGCTGTTGTGATAGTGAGTGAGTTCTCACAAGATCTGATGGTTTTATAAGGGGCTCTTCCCCACTTCACTCGGCACTTCTCCCTCCTGCTGCCTTGTGAAGAAGCTGCCTTGCTTCCCCTTCACCTTCTGCCATGAATGCAACTTTCCCGAGGCCTCTCCTGCCATACTAACCTCAGTCAATTAAGCCTCTTTCCCTTTGAAATTACCTAGTCACAAGCATTTCCTTATAGCAGTGTGAGAACGGACTAATACAGGGCTATTACAAGATTACGTATACGGGCTTGCCATTGACTAAAATAGTGCTAGAAGAAGATTTGCTGTTGTCCTTGACACAAACACACAGCTAAGTGAAAGAATTCAAATCTTGGGGTTCTGAGCTTCAGTAAGCCCACTACCACTTATCTAATCACAGAATGTGATATAATTTCAATGCTGATGGCATGCCACAGTGAGCATCCGTAATGCACAAGTCAATTTCTTTCTTCTTGGATGTTAAAATCCTCTCCAGAAGATAATCCAAGCTTCTTGAAAGGGCCTCATTTTTCTGAGGTTTTATAATCTCATCAAAATTAAGAAATTAAGAATGCATTACTCTAGGTCATTACAGAAGAATTATAGACCCCAGGTTTTAACCAGTGCTTCAACTGGTCCCTATTTTTGCTTTCTTTTTTCAAAATTTAACTTTCTCTCCTTCCTTCTATTCTTCCTCTTTGCTCCATCCATTTTGTCTAACTCTGCTGGTATAAACTATGAAGCATGCTAAATGTCTTTAAATGCTTGCTAATCCCCCCGGGTTTTAGCCTTAAGTGATTTTAAAAAAATAGATGATGCTTAAGAAAACAGGAGACATGGAACATATCAACAAATAGAAATATTTGGAAGTAATCTAAGATACTGAAGTGCTGTTCTCCATACAGAAGCCTCTGGCAGGAAGAGGATTTACTTGCAAAGAAATATATTTGTTTTTGTTTGTTTTGTTTTTTGAGATGGAATTTTGCTCTGTTACCTAGGCTGGAGTGCAGTGGTGCGGTCTCAGCTCACTACAATCTCCGTCTCCCAGGTTCAAGTGATTCTTCTGCCTCAGCCTCCCGAGTAGTTGGGACTACAGGTGCGCACCACCATGTCCGGCTAATTTTTGTAATTTTGGTAGAGACGGGGTTTCACCATATTGGCTAGGCTGATCTCAAACCCCTGACCTCGTGATCTGCCCACTTTGGCCTCCCAAAGTGCTGGGATTACAGGCGTGAGCCACCGCACCTAGCCAGAAATATATTTATTTACAATAGAAATGAGTACTTATATTTTGTAAAACTCTGAATAAAAACCTTCTGCTTCAATACTGAGGCTATGAAAAGTTCCTAGGTTCCACAACTCTAGACTTCAAACTCTGCCAAAATATATTTTCACATATTAACTTCTTATTTAAAATTTATTTCAATTATTATTTATCTTTTGAAATTATTGAAGAGCAAGTACATAACATAATAAACACCTTATGTGAAAAGTTTGAACATTTTAAAGTTCTACTTTATCTGTGTGGATGATTTAAGTTGGTTAAGAGCAAAAGAAAATACAGAAAAGCCCATTTATAACGTTTGCTGTTAAAATGTTTATCTTTTAAAATTCCATGCTATTGCACACATACAATAGTATTTTCTTTTGTCTCTACTTTAGAAAAAGCACTACAAAGGGGTTCCTGTGCGGATTATTTCCAGTAACTTAGGCACAACTGGAAGGCTTAGCTCAAATTTTCCATAATAATTTACTTTGTGCTCAGAATAGTCACATGATGTTTAAGCCACCAGAAAAAAATTCCTTAGAAAACTGTAATCATAGTCTGACATTCCATAAGAGGCAACCATAATTCTTAAACACAGAGCAGAGGGTTAAAATGCTTACTTTTCTCTTTTAAGGGCTTTAGGAAAGAATAAATAGTTACGAATTTAGTAATGAAGAAAGTCCACAGGGCCTTTCTAAGGAGTAGTCATAAATCATGCTAAGCCATCTGCGATGCAGATATACCAGGGACAGGAAAAAGTCATTTCGATATCTGTTTTGCATTATGATAACCTTTGCAGGAGTGTTGAGTGCATTTTTGCTAATGTTGACAGAATTGTACTTCTTCTAAAGAGACAAGTGAAAATGTCTGCCTAGCAGCACAGTTCAACTTGTTATTGGGTCTGAAATTCTTAATAATTGACCAGATGGAGAAGATGGAACTCTCTGGTTATTGAACCTGTTAGCTTTGATCCCTTGTCAATCACACCATGATGGAGGAAGAAAAAAACAAAATATTCCTCAAAAAGTAAATATGCTCCTCATAGGAATCTAACCTGTAGTGCTGGGAAAATTAAAACTGGATTGAATTCTATGTTATTTTATTATATTCATGTTGAAAAAGCCCAGGCCACTCTTCATGCATGATTCCATTTAGATAAAAGAAGGCCATAAAAGGCATGCTGGGTATAGCCCAGTGACTTGCAGAACCTTATCATTAACAAATTTGTACATCTGGAAGCTCACAGAAGACATCAGTCTGTGGAACCCTACATTGTCTCCAGTAACAAGTCACCATAAGAAAACTTATTTTAGTGGACAAACAAGTTTTGTGGTCAAAGATACCACAAGATTTGTGGTCAAAGATACCATTACAAACCTAATGTTAGACATTAGGTTTGTAATCATATTATGATCAAATATATTTAAATTGATAACCTTTTAAGTTAGAATCATCAATTTTCTTAGCTGTGCACCCTAATTGAAGTCAAACCAAACTTATTTAATGAGAAAATATTTGTTTTTCCTTTACCAGAGGGGAAAAAAAATTACCACATGCCTTCCATAGCCTACAAACACAAAGGTTATATTTTTTGCACTATTAACTATATTTTTTCACATGTAGAAATTCTGGACTGATGACACAAGGCACACCCCAAAATACAGTATTTTGACCTAAACTCTTAAATTAGTGATATAATGCATATTTCCTGAAATAAAACCTACTTCATAGCACATGACTGATAATCATAAGACCAACAAAAAACAATAAAGAACAACAACTATAAACAATACATAGAAATATTCATAGCCTGGTTTTGCATACTAAAACATTCTAATAAGATATTTGCTAGAAGAGTAAAATTTCTGCATAGAATGCACGCTAATAGGTGACCCAGACATTATGTTGTTGGAACAGCAAAACTGACAAGGATAAAAACTTTATATAAAACGGGCCAAATGACAGAATCCCAATAGACTATCTCTAAGCATTATGTCTAACTTATTTATTGATATCCCTGAGGGGAGAATTTAGAAGTCTCATCAAGCTAACCAATTTACTTTGGTCTTAACTTAATAGACACATTAATGCAAACCTCCACACAACCCACCTTGTAAACAGTCTAACAGATTGCTCTTTGGAAATGAAAGGAAGAGCCCAAAGTGACATTAACATCCAAAAATACAATCAAATACAGAAATTAACCAATCAAAAGTCTAACAAATTAAAAGAAAATTCCAATGTAAGAAAAGCAAGTATAAAAATAGAGAACAATTCCCCCCCTCCTCCACCCCCAATCAAAGAAAAAACTAACCAGCTGAGTTGGGAGTTGAGGGTGAGTTAGCTTGGCTTCCATGGGCTGACACATTGGTAGCAGTGACAGCTGTTTTGGCAGCATAAATATTGGCTTCCTCTTGAAATTTACCTATGTTCTTCTTGTACCGGATTCGCTTATTTCCAAACCAGTTTGATACCTAGAGTAGTTTAATAAGATGAGAAAGTTCACATTTCATCCTTCAGAAACATTGCAGAAGAAAAAAAAAAAGGCTTTATGGGAGAGGTGAAGAGGTAAGCTAATTGGTCTTATCCTACTTGTATTAATAATTTGGCAACAAAAGTAAAATCTGAAGAGCTTCAAAAGGACAACTACACGAAATGCGATTCTCTTGTTTAATATCACTAAAATTTAGTAAAACCACTGTGACAAAAATCTTCCTATAAAGGAGCTGCTCATTTAAGCTAGAACCCTTTTAATTTAGAGCAAGCATTTTAAATTTGCTTACATCTTCAGTTATGACACTAAAATACACCTAACGTTTCAGGAGGAATGCCCCTAGTGTTCATCAATGCGAAAGCTGGCTTTATGCCATCAAAATACACAGACCTTTAAATGTCCATATAGGTGCTTTCATGTGATAGATTAATTGCAAATTTTTAGAAGTTACATGACTTTATTGTGGACTGAGATTCTTAGCTGTATTTACGATAGACCTTAGGATCACTATAATTCAATCTACCAGATTTCACTGACTATTTTGTGTAAAGCTTGCTATTATCTACATAAGGAAAAACTGTAGCATACAAATGACTATCCCCTTGAATTCTAGGGTTTAAATGTTAAAGCCAGCAGACACAATAAACCTAATTTACTTTCATTTGTTAATTTATTTCCTTCATGTGGTTCACAGCAGGTGTCTTGGCTCCATTTGGTACCTCTGCTCCCTTCATACCAAGACCTCTGCCAGACACAAAGGGAGACACAGTTAAATTCAAGTTTTACCCCCATAATTCCTGCCCTGGAAAGGAAAGTTTTATATCCCACATTCCAGATATGATTTTGAACTAAAATGCTGAGGTTTTCATATAATTACAAACCAAACCATGAATCTGGTGAGGAAAGGGGGAGTTGATACCACATGTACCACAGTTTACACATCATTTATATTTAACTCCCAATGACAGCAGATAAAGAAAACTGTTGCAAAACTATAATTTTTATATTTATGTAAATATAATTTATATTAATAGAATATAATTTAATTTTTTAAATGCATTAGCAAACTTAAAACATCTTATAAGGATAGCACTGAAAGGCTTATACAACTTATACTATAGCAGAAATGTCAAGCCTTTTTTGAAAAAAAAAATCAGTCTGTACCACCACAATATTAGTAAACAAAAGAGAAAAAAACTCAATAAGAAAATGCTTTATTTATTGTAAATGCTGATGTCTACAGAAAAAGAGGTAAACTGGAGGAGGAAGGACACTTTTGGGTGTATTTCAGGATCACTGCATATCTAGTTTCACTTTGAAATTTATGTTTTTCTTGATATAACTTTCACTATTCGTAGGAATCGGTCATAATTATGGTTGCTTTTTGATTTATGGGATAGCAAAAGAAGAAAAAAGGTAAGGAGATTTTTTTCTCAGATAACTGCATAAGCTGAAAGAAAAGGGAAAAAGATGAAGCTAATTTGGGAGGACTTTTGAAGAAGAAATACCTAAGGTCCAATTATATGTGAAAAAAAATATGAGCTGAAGGGGGTAGAGAGGGGACATGTTGTAGGAGTGATTCCCTTCTAAATGACAAGAATGGAACTGGTAGGAAAGTGCTAGGTCAGTTCAGGGACTTCCTGCATTGTGCAACAGACAAGGATCCGGATAATGTATACAGTGTTATCATGAATGAACTAATTATTCAACAGTCATGGACTAAGGGCCTAATATGCGTTAGGCACTAGGGATGTACAGATAACAGACACAGAATGAGATATAAAATACAGAAAGAATAGTAGGTTTTATAGGAAGAGTTTGATTCACATTTTGAATAAGTTAATTTTGAAGAAGCTCTGGGCAGAGCCATGATGAAGTCCATTGGGAAGTAAAATACATGAGTTTGGTGCTGCAGGAGAGAAGTTCCATCAGGTATTCAAATGGAGGTATTATTTGTAGCTGTGAGCATGGAAAAGATAAAGCATATAGAGCATTGCTTTTCAAAGTTAAGTGTTCAAGGGGAAGTTGTTAAAACAACTTCTATTACCGATTTCACCCTCAAAGATTCTGATTCAGAATTAAGGTGACACTCAAGAATTTACATTTCTAACAGGCTCCCAGGGGATGCTGATGCTGCCTTCTGTGGATCACACTTCGAGCAGCTCTGGTATAGACAAAGGGCCCTTTAGAGATCTGGGGAGATACAGTCAACAGGCAGACTTCAGATGGATTTGGGTGTATGGGCAGCATATCTTTGTTTTGGGTCATGGGGTTTCAATAGCTTTTAGTAGATTTCAAAAGAATTTGTGACTTCAAAAAAAGACAATAATGATACAGTCCAAGAGGTATTCCCTGGCTTTGGGAACTAGGAGAAAGATTGAATAAATTATGTGATCCAACAAACCATGATTAGTAGATAGGGCAACTAAGACCCAAAAAGAAAGAGTGAGTTCCCTAGGATCCCACAGTTGACTCTTGTCAAAAATATGCTCCTTGCTTAATGCTCTTTCTATGATATCATATTATATTGTCTCCCATTGGACTTGTTTAACAATGGTAGCTTAGTTGCTTTGGGGAGAGACAGATGTGATGGGGAAGAAAGAATGGCATGACTTTGGCATGGGCAGAGGAAAGGGAAAGGTGACACAATATGTAAATAAGCATTTTAATGGACACACTATTTGTACCTTGAGTTTCCATAATGAAGGAAGTGAAGGTTGCGGGAACAGATCAGGATTTTAACTTGTATCCAGCTATACTATAAATTACCTCCAGGAGAATTCCTTTTACCTTCAACACGGAGTTGAAATTCTGAATTCCACACTTGGAATTCAGACAGCAGTAATTTAATTCTACTTTAAAAGCAGAAGGTTCCAGGATAAAATTCACTGATTTAATATTTGCTCCTTGTTTGTGGTACATACCTAGAAGCATTCCTGAAACATGCAGCAAGTCTCAAAAAGCATTAATTCCCTTTTTTTGTGGACAAGGGGTCTAGATTTGGACAAGAATGGTGATAGCCCTAGAAAAAACTAGGCTACTTGAATTTCACCACTGACATTCCAGTTTCCCAGAATTGTCAAGACTGAAAACGACCTTCAGCTGGGTCAAGGCACCTAAGGAAGGCCCAAGTTAAAAAGGAGTCAATTCTTTCTGCTTTATCTGAAAGAATGTTTTCAAGGATATTTGCTGCTGTAAAATCATCTTAGTTTGTTGGGGAGGCTCGGGCAATCCCTTCATTGTCAATACCTTTTGGGGAGCTCTATATTCTGACTGGACCTAATTCTGTATAGGTAAACACAGGTTGATGGGATCAGCACCCTGCAGGGATCAACAGAAGTCAGGATTCAATTCAGGGAGGTACAGATGCTTAGTTTATATAAAGGAGCATCTGCTTCGTTTGAAAAGTGGTAAGTGAAATTTCTCACTACAGTAGTCTTCACTACTCCCTCCCCTCCCCAGTTTTAACGGAAATACCTGTACATTTAATTCTCCTTCATGTGACAAAATTCTAAGAAAAACTTTCTCCGACAGATTTCAGAACTATCACTATAGGTCTCAATTAGAAACCAGTGGTGGTATTTGAGGTTCAGACTGAATAAGAAGTTTGGGTGGATCTTTTGAGCAGACAAAATGTACGTATGTAAAAATATTGCCTACTGTTCTGCTTCATATTCATACTGAAAACTCTAGGCCTATAACAATTTTATATCATGTATCTTTCCAAGTCAACAGACACCACCTGTTATGGTTATTGCTCTTTGGGGGAAGGGGGCATTCAGTGACATTTTATTCAACCATTCCAATGTGATCGCAGTGACATGTTAAAATTCCTACACTCCATCAGTTAGAGAGTCAGCACATCAAGAGGAGACATTTAAGTTCCTTTCATTTAAAGGCTAGATAACAACTAGTTCCATTCACTGACTCTTAAAGTTCCTGGGTTGGGCAAAAAATGGCTAAGGAATTGACTGAGTTTGAAAAAACAGCATGAGGAATGCAGGTAACTTCCCTAGTACACTTTAGACACTTCACCCATTTGAAGCAAAGGAGTGCTCGTTGGAAAGAACCCTAACCCTGTTTATACACTGTACTCTACTTATTCTTCTCTTCCTTCTGCTGGTCCTTCTCAAGTTTTGCCAAGTACTTACCTAGAAACTCACTTATACACATATACATCAAGTGCTTACCTTGATATTTTAAGGCTACAGCTGATGGAACTTGCAAGGCATGAATGTCCAGTAAAGCAAGACCTCCAAGAGCCTGTCCTGGAGGCCCCACCATGGCCAGGCTACAGGCTGAGGCTTTTGAGGGGCTGCTTACCTGGGAGACTGTGATGCCACACTTCTTGGCTAACTCCTCTTTGGCTTCCTCACTGGGGTAAGGGTTGCTGAGATGGGAATAGAAATATTCATTCAGGATTTCTGTCGCTTGCTTGTTGAAATTCCGTCTCTTCCGCCTTTGTAAAGAGAAAGGAAACAATAACAAAAAGGCTCACACCAAATAAACATAAAATGGGAGAGAATAGAATCTACTTCTGGGAGAAGACAAATTTTTGAGCAAAAGGTGAATTGGAGCACATTTACTAAAAGGGACTGGATGCCAAAACCATAACTAAAAGCATTTGCTCAATACTTCATTGTGTACCATCTGGGCACCGAACAGAAGAGTGGTCACGGATATTTTTGCAGAGTAGTGAGGAGCATAAAGTTTCAAAATTCGGGCCATCTTGGTTTGTTCACTTTGTCACCCAGGCTGGCGTGCAGTGGTGTGATCTTGGCTCACTTGAACCTCTACCTCCCGGGTTCAAGCGATTCTCCTGCCTCAGCCTCTTGTGTAGCTGGGATTACAGGCACACACTACCACACCCGGCTAATTTTTGTATTTTTAGTAGAGATGGGGTTTCATCATATTGGCTTGGTTGGTCTCTAACTCGTGACCTCATCATCTTCCTGCCTTGGCCTCCCAAAGTGCTGGGATTACAGGTGTGAGCCACTGTGCCCAGCCCCATCTTGGTTTTGAATCCTGGGTCAATTGAGTATCAGCTGGGTGATTTTGACCAGCTTCTTCAATGAAAGTGAAGAGGGTCATACTGACTTCACAGGGTGAGAGTAGGGAAGAGAGGAGACCACATAAAGACAGCATTCAGCACAGCGCCCAACACATGGCAGGTGCCACAGCTTGGTCTTTCTTCTTACCAGGTTCCAGGCACTGGGCCTTACCCCTCCCTCTTGGCAATCAATTCAAGTTATTCATTTTTCACAACTACTGAGGTAGATACGATTATTTGTATTTACCGATAAAGAACGGAGCGCAAAGGTCACTCAGCTGGTATGTAACAGAGCCAAGGTATTAATTCAGGTCTGACCGACTACAAAACCCAGTCTGTCTCTTCTATACAAATGAGCTCCTCACAATTACACAGAGATTCTGCAGCCATAAGTTAAAAATAAGTTATCATGTTCTTTCCATTCTATCCCCATGCAAATGCATGTAACATTCTTAAAAGGCATCTGGAGAAGAGGGCACAGAACTGACTGAAATTAACCCCCAACAGCTTGACCTCCCTCAGAAGGAGAAAAGTGGCACTTCTTAAGCAAGAACAGCTGCTAAATGGTAAAACAAAAGCCCACAGAATTCTTTTTCACATACAGGTTGCCAAAAAGGAGAAAATCACTTTTTTTGAATAAAAGCATTTTTCTGCCTTAAAAAAGAAAAAGTGCTAATTGAACTAACTTAAAGTGAGAATCACTTTATTGCTTCCTGACAATGAAGGCCTGTGGATAGCTGAGGGCGTTGCAGGCTCATTGCAGGGGCTGGCTGGCCCTCCTTAAAGTTGTGGGTCCTTCATCTTTAAATTAGCTTGCTTAGCACTTCTGCATTTCCTGCTTTTATTAAAAGCTTTTCCTTATGGAAAAAATTTCCAGAACATCCCTGATTATGCCAGGATATAGGATTTCCCAATTTAGCCAACAGAAAGCACGGATGGCCTTGCTAGACAGGAAATTCAGCTAATATTGTATTTTCAGGGTCCCGCTTGGATTAATTAACACAATAAAGTGCCTGATTTTACCGGATGAACACCATCTGTCCACAGGTATTAACCACATCTGTCCAGATTATGCCAAGCCCAAGTCACTCTCCTAAATCATGCTGAGTTTCTGGGTCACTCAGCATCAGAAATTGTACAGATTGGATTTAAAAGCCCAACTGCAAAGTGGGCATGTGTTAAAAGCTCTTGCATGATGGCAATTTGAGGAAGATAGCCAAGTGACTAACACAGTCTGCAGGCCAGGCTTTAGATCACCTTTGGCTTCTCTTTCTTCTTCGCCTAAAGAAGACTGTTGTTTTAGGCCTGGGGAACTGGACCCTGAAGGCTCCCTAATTGGGAGAGCCTCCGTTCCCTCATTCAGTTGTTTGCATTAGCATTACTGTGTATTTTTTGGGACTCTTCCAATTGAGCTCAAAGGAAACCTCTCTGGAATGAGCTGGTGGTACGCGGATGGTGCAGACAGCTGTTCCCAGCTCTTCTCTCCTTGTGATGTGCAATCTTCCCTAGGTGGTCTCATCTACTCTGATGGACTCGCTTATCACCTCTTTTAGTAGCTGTCTTAATCTAGGGTGTTTGAAATCCTAGGATCAGGATTTTTCAGAATTTCAAGAAACCTAGTGAAAATAATACCTTTCTACAATAAGGTTGAGCTAACTGAGACGCCTGGTTTCTTTGCTTTGGCTTGAAGTGTTATCACCTTGCTGAGTTAACATTTGTGATTTCAAACCAATCAGTAGCTCTGTGAGTTGGGCATCAAGGTTTTGAATTTAAGAAATTTGGAAGTTAATTAAATATTACTGGATAAACATGGTGTTTTAGGGACAGAAAATTTTTGAAGCACAGGGTCCACAGGGGAAGTTTTTTATAAAAGACTCATGATAGTGAGACATGTAGACATCACAGACATACACTGTTAACTACCAAATTTGTTATCTCCTGCCCTAATACCTCTGCTAAGAGCCATTGGCCCATTTATGACTGCAGACTCCAAGCATCTTCAGACAAACTGTTTCCAAAACTAAGATCACCTTTTACCCAAATCAGCTCCAGTTTCCTTGTTAGCCTTATTATTTAGTGACATTACTACAGATATAGTTCATTATATTTGCTAATTTGTTCATTCCTTCCTTCATTCATTCAAAGATTTGAGTACCTAGCATGTGCTAGAAACTAGGAGTTTCTCAACTCTTCCTGCTTTCTTACCTTCATCAAATGATTGTCCCCTAAGCAAGTACTGCCAGTTCTACACTTTCAAATCAACCTCTTTTGTTTCATTCTAATTGCGCTGCTATTTGTGAAGTGAGTGAAGAGGAGCCGCTGCCTATTGTACTACTGTATGACTAGTGCTGTCCAAGAGTACTTTGTGCAATGAGTGAAATGTTCTATATCTCTGCTGTCCAATGCAGTAGTCACTGGCTGCGTGTGGCTACTGAGCAGCTGCAATGTGGCTACTGTAACTAGAGAGCTAATTTTTAAATGTTTATTCATTTTAATTTAGTATTCAGTTAACTTAAAATCAAATAGCTGTATACCAGAGCAACACTAGATCAATGCTTTCCCAAGAAGCCCTCTTCGAAAAAGATTGTAGCTCTGGGGACACCATCAGAAACACAAAATATCTTTGGAACCTCTTGTTTTAGTCCACTCTATAATATACCAATGTTTTTCTTAAAATAAGAATATTTTCTTTGGAATACTTATGTAAAATGTGAAAAGTATTTCAATTTATTCTGTGTGGCACCAGTCTGAGGAGCACAGGCTTCAACAATTGTTCTTTATATTGTCTTTTCTCCAGTTCAGCTCATCTTCAAGAGACTCACTAGAGTAATCTTTCTAAACCATAGATATGATGTCACTAATCATTATAAAATTTAATAATAATGTATATATAAACAACAATGTACAATAGTATATAACAGTAATATATAACACAGTAATCATTATGATAGCTGAATTATGATGTAAATATTATGTGTCAGATACTATAGTAAGATTTATTCCTATTTACAGGATGATCTACATTTTACATGTAAGAAAACCGAGTCTTCGGAAAACGAGTCACAGGGTCATAAAGGTCATCAGGGTTGTAGCCAGAATTTGAATCCAGTGCAATTTTATGTGATAACTTCCCATACTTCTTCTTTAAATAGCTCTGAGGGTTTCTGCTGTTTGATAGGATAAATTTAAAATCTTCACTGGTACAGTTAAGGTTTTTCAGTGGATCTTTCCTATCCCTAGTGCCTCATTTCCCCTCAATCCTACACATGCTCTGAACAATTTCATCTAGCCACATCATATGCCTCTGCATTCCCCAAAGACTCGTGGCTTTCATGCTCCTGTGGCTCTTTACACCACCCTGCATCTTTCTCTCCCACAACATCCGCCACAGATTTACATATGTTTCCCCAACTAAACAGCAAATTCCTCAAAGGCAGAGGGCAGATCTCACTCATATTTGAAACCCTTGGGTCTAACACATAGTAAGCACTCAAGTAAGGAATGCTTGCTGAAGTAGAATTATGTTGTTTATTTTGCTGTCATTCTTTCTGTTTGGCAAACATCCTGCTCCTCTGAGACTCAGTATTTTTCCGCCCTCTCTCTGGATCCTTTCCTTCAGGTGGAGTAGGTAGATGAATGAACTGAATGTGTAGCATGTGGTGTTATGTGTAGTTGGAACAGTATTTGTCCTGTGAGATTATGAGCTCTTTGAAGGTAGCACCCACATTTATATGCACTTTTTTCATCTTTGATGTTCCAGTGGCTACTATAACATCAGGCAGATAGTAAGAGCTCAGTTAGATAAACCAGTAAATCTAAGTAGAGTGCCAGTGTGACCAGACTAGACCTTCTTGGATGTCCTTTCCTCTTTCTTGCCATCCTCTCTTTGGCAATATACTTTATGTAATCCCCTCTATTGCAGTGAAGTATACAGACATACTTTTAATTATCTGTTTATGTTACTGTTATTTCCAGCAAAATGTTATAGAAAAACAGTTAAGATTACTGCTTGAAAATCAGTTAGTTTATAAGTTCTCTCCCTCTTTTAACTAAAAAAAAAAAAAATGTTATTTATAGTCCTGATAATAAACTTACCAAGTTGTATGGCACAATGCTTGGTATATAGCATGATAGGAGGTATGTTGAATGAATGAATGAATGGAATTTTTAAGTTAAACCTTCCTGGTACAGTTAAGTCAATCTAAGGAAGAGAGACAGGAAATGACTTGAGTGGGATAAACCTGGGCCCAGAGAGGAGGTGAGGAGTGTGGTGGACAGAACTCCAGAACTGTAGACCCTGGTGTACACACCTTCCCTGTGAGTGGATGGCATAGGAAATATGATGAGGTTCCTCCTCAGCTGACTTTGAGTAAATGAAAGGGAAGATTCGATTAAAGCCTTAAAATGGAAACTTTCTCCTACGGGCCCTCAGGAAGAAAACAGGCAGCCAAATTGTGAACTGCCTATTGAGAAGGGCAGCCTCTAGGAACTGAGGCCCTTGGTCCTACAATGAGAAGGAAACGAGTTCTGCCAACAATCAGAACAAGCTTGGAAGGAGACCCTGAGCCTCAGATGAGATCACAGGCTCAGCTTATAAGCTTGATTACAGATTCGCTGTGACTAGGGCAGAGGATCCAGCTAAGCCATGCCCAGGCCCCTGACCAACAGAAACCGTGCGATAATAAACTTGTGTTGTTTTAAGCTGCTTAATTTGTGGTAATCTGCTACGCAGCAATAGAAAGCTAATACAATGAGTGTTCCACAACAAAGTAGGAACACTCAATTCTACACACCTATTAGATTACAAAGACTAATCTTATTACTAAATCAAGTCCTCTTTGTATTTTATTTGTCTTCCATGAAATCTTTTTTGGTGAGGCCCTGCCCATCAGATGCATGGTTTAGAGGAGCATGTGAATATCTGCAGTGAGTGTGTCTTTCTTACTAAGTTTGCTTAGCTATCTCTCCCAATGACAGTTAGTGACGCTGGAGGCACTGATATGAATTCCCCAATCAGGATGTCGGGCAAACATTTGCTTTTGAACTGAGAAGGCCATTTGCTCAGCCTTAGGCTGGCATCTGGGGTCATGTTCTTTCACTGGTAATAAATATAACCCCAAAATGAAATGATAGTAACAGTGACAATAGGTGAGTTGTTTTCGTTTTGAATCTTGGCTCAGAAGCAATGATTCAAAGGTTGTAACCAAAGCACCAAAGCAAGAAAAAGACCCTGTCTTAAAGTGATTGTCTGTCTGGTGCCAACTGGAACACTCTAGGCGAAGGCCGGTGGAAGTGAAAGAAACTTGTGGACAAAGCTCTCCAAGCTTTGTGTCTGACCTTCAACTGGGCACAGTGGAATTACTGAGAGAAGATATCCAATGAGACAATTAATTCTGCTCCTCCCGTCTCTCTGCTTACTTTCTTGAAAAGAACTCAGTCTGGAGCCAACTGTTCTTTTTTTTTTTTTTTTTCAATACCTGCCAACATAAATACTAACTCCAGCATTTTAACTAGAGGAGTTACCATGGAGATGTAAGCAATACACGCAGGGTGGCAGTGGCACAGAGGAAGGACCCAAACAGAGGCCACCAGTCACTTGCACTTTGCACTATGCAGAACAGGCTGTATTAAAGAAGCCAGGCAGACAGCAGGCCACGGGTGAGGGAGAGGCACAGAGGATCCTGCTTTAGGGTGATTTTGCCTATTTCCACTCCATTACGATACCCAGTTGGGGAAAACTACCTTCGTTTTTACTTTCTCTTGACTTATTCTATGGAATTCTACTGGCCCAGAGTTACATTTTGCTAGCTGGCATTCTCATGTTCTAGTCCATGCAACCCAAAACACATTGACTAAAGGGAGTGAGGAGAAGATGCCAGGGCGTTTTAAAGAGGTTCAAGGACTGTAAAGACCACAATTATGAAGACAGAGAGAAATGCAGGTAGGAGAGCTGAATAAAACATGATCTCAGGGGTGAAAAAATTCAAGAGGAGTAATAAATCATTCTATCTGATTGAAAAGAGACAAAATTATAGATTGTGAAATGGTACACTGACCCTGACATATCTAACGTCCTAACGATAAAAATAACAGATTGGGATTATTATCAAGAATTTAAATATGAATGTTATCTGAATTCACATATGACAAATTTAAGACAAATTCTAGATCACAAAGCATACCCAAAATCAAAATGTATTTGCTAGATGAATTATCAAAATATTCTTCTAGAGTAGATGAAAGATATGACTATTACTATTTTACAGGCCGGATAACAGAAGCAAAAGGAATCAAAGGGATTCACATAAATCTATTGGTCTAGAGAGTAGGGGAACAAAGAGATGTTCTCAGTTCTTGTCTTCTTTTAAAGGTCCTTTCTATCAATGGTTTCTTCAACTGAATGCTCTGAACTCACAAGTAAGGACATGAGCAGCAATGCCAGATGGAAACCATCAAACCAAGTTGGCCTATGTTAGACCATCTCCTTGTCCCTCTATGTCCAAAGTGCCATGTCTTATTCATTTCTGCACTCCTAAAATTAGCCCAGAGACAGCAGTTTACTTAGAAATATTTGTTGAATTGAGTGCACTCTCGATCCATCTACAGGGTGGAAAAGATCCCAATTTCTAAGCAAATGGAATAAACTTTATTGAAGAGAGCCTGTCGTGATAGAATGCTGGTAAGACAGCTGCAGGCCCATAGTTATAAGACGCATCTATAAGAGAGGTACCTAGTGCTATGAAAAGAAAAAAAATCTCACTGTACCTAAGTCCTCCTTGCTGCTACCCACAGTGCGTAACATAGTGATAAAGGTCATCTCCTGCAACCATGTATTTTCCTGGTACTGTGTGAAACCAATGACCTATCTAGTCTCACAGAACCATTCTTAGGGTACCATTTAGTTCAGCATTGATGGGGTGAAACTAGAGCCTATAAGGGTGGCCAGTTATGGACTCTAGCCCCAGATCAGTGACTCCCACAGAGGGCAGGACAGCCCCATGGGAGACTCACCGCGCATCCAGAAATCGGGAACGCAGGATCATCACGGCCTCGCACGTGCTCTGCTTGAGCTGCATCTGGATGGAGCTGAACTTGCGGTGGATGATGCTGACCATCCGCTCAATCTCCTTTGGGGAGATAGGCCTGGTCCGGCTTTGCTCTCGCAGGAGGTTCATCACATGGGTGGTGAACTCGTTGCAGGCCTGGAATGGCAAGACAATAAACACAGTCATGGCGGGTCCAAGCCTCAACGCGTATCAAGTCTATGACACAAGGAGCATGTGGGCTTTTCTAAAGACTTGTGCAAATAAAGAAAACTGAGATAGTTTGTGGTAGACGTCCATTTCAGCCCCTGTGGCTCTAAGTTTTGGCGATAATGTTGAATTTTTTTAAGACATAAAATAATTTCTTAATCATTTTATCTTAACTTCTTTTCCATGATTTTACCACAGTAAAATGTAAGAATATGACTTCTAGTATAAAACACACTACACCACCCTTTGTCCCAAAGTTAACAGTCAAAGAGAGTTTGGGGTCAAATGTATCATGTGCTTTCTGCCTTGCTCATTATTTCTGATATAGGAGTGCTTCCAAATACTCAATTTTAGAATGCATAAACAGCCAAAAGAGTTTAAATGGAATCATGGAATTAAAAGCTTTGATAACTCTTCTTGGAGATTTCTCATCCATCTATTTCTGTTTCAAGTTTTATTATAAGAACTTCCTCTCCTGCTCTGGACTTCTGAAGATCCACTATGTCTGTAACACAAAGGGAATCTGTCCCCAGGGGTCTTAGAGAAACAGCATCAAAACATGATTGAGAGGATTCAGGAACTATCCCTGCAGAAATAAAAATTCTCAGGTTATAAACTAGCATATCATAAGCTCCGGAGGTGGAGTTGAAAATCGTATTTCCCCACCTCCTTATTTAACAGGGAGAAAAACTGTGGCCCAGAGAGGTGAAGGGACATTTCCACAGGCACACAGCAAACATGAAGAGGCAGAAGTAGCGCCTGAGCCCTTCCTAGTTTAGGCCAGGGCCTCTGGGCTAAATCTGAACTTACCCCTCTGAAAACTCCTGCCCTCTCTTTTAGTTACTATGACTTACTTAGCATCCATAATCTGGTTTCCTTAGCTGAGCATTCAGTAAAACATCTATTCACAGATTCACTCAAAGCAATACTGTAAAACTGTATTAGATTCACAACAAAAAAGGCAAGACGATGCTTTGAGAGTTAAAGAACTAAAGACTCCATTGCTCCAACTTTTTTTTTTTTGAGATGGAGTCTCGCTCTGTTGCCCAGGCTGGAGTGCAGTGGCGCGATCTCAGCTCACTGCAACCTCCGCCTCCCGGGTTTATGCCATTCTCCTGCCTCAGCCTCCCGAGTAGCTGGGACTACAGGCACCCGCCACCTCACCCGGCTAATTTTTTGTATTTTTTAGTAGAGACGGGGTTTCACTGTGTTAGCCAGAATAGTCTCGATCTCCTGACCTTGTGATCTGCCCGTCTTGGCCTCCCAAAGTGCTGGGATTATAGGCGTGAGCCACCGCGCCCAGCCTGCTCCAACTTATTAACGGCAGAAACACGCTCGTTATTGATAACATTGCACTGCCGTTGTCATATGTGTCGATAACGCAGTACCAATAACAATAGTACACATTTACTGATTATTCACCTAAGAACTCCTTTGAGGTTGGTTGGTCAAAGGTACATAGGCAGGTGCATCCACTGGACTGTGTCTACACTGGTGAATGGGAGGCCTGGGTTTTTGCCCCCGCCTCCGTGAATATTTGGAAACATCCTTTCACTACTCAGTGCCTCATTTAATTCACCCAAAAGTGGCTTTAATCACTCCTGACCCTCCAGCAAGGTTAACGGCACCCACACTCCTGTGCTATGACCTGCAGACTGAGCAAATCCCTCACAGGAACACAGCAGAGAGGCTGAGTGCGAGCACAGCCTGGGTTCACAGCTCCTGCCTCTGGGACTCACTTGGCTGTGAGATCTTCAAAGTTACTTAATGTATCTGTGCCTCGTTTCTCTAATTTGTGAAACCGAGATGGCAACACCCACCTCATAAGGTGTAGTAAGGATTAAATGAGTTACTATATGCGTGCCTGGCCCTACAAACACATGTCACAATGATCTCTTCAAAATATAGATAACTTAGAAATCCAGCATATTTGGATATATCGATAACCGGGTAAACTTCTCCAGAGTTCAATTTCCCTCTTGGTAAAAGTACAGGTGGTGATAAATACCTCCTTTCTACTCTACAGGCCTATACAGAAGACATACCCATAGAAGACTGGGTCCTTATAGCATGTTACTCTCCACTCTCCAAGAAAAGTGTTATATAAACATGAGATCTATATAGTAGGTTCATCCCCTAGCCAGCCCCAGCACCCAGAACTGTACAACCACGAGAAGGAAATAAAACCTGGCAGCAAGTTCACTGAAATTTGGAGACCACAGGATGGAGAGTGGAGGGCTAGGCACATAGCAAGCATCCCAGCGGCCTTTCTAGAGAAACAACCTCCCACAGGGCTGCAGCCTCCCCACCTCGTCTGGGCTTAAAGAGAGGAGGGGCTGGATGTGAAGGAGGATTGTCAAGTGCACCAGCTCTCAGCTGGGAAGCCACAGTGCTCGGCTAATAATAATGTGCTTCATTATGGTGAATACAAATACTCACAATATCTGATGTTTATTCAGGGCACTGTATCCCGGGGCCCTTTCTGCTCTTCACAAAACAGACAGTGGAGTCATTTCACCCACTGCTGAGGTGGAGCAAAGCAGCTGCTAAACAGCTGCCGAGGAACACACAGCAGAGAGCAGAGCAAAGCTCCAAGTCCGTTTGAGATGGACAAAGCATAATGATCCAGATCGTTCCAGTACCTGGGAAGGAAGGAGCTATCCACACCTCCTCCTCACTTCCCTCAAGCCTTGTACCTAAAGAAGCTGGGCTACTTCCCACAGGACAGGCACTCACAATATGACAGGAATGTGAATACTTGGGGTTACAACTGTTAATTAAATAAAATCCTCACATGCTGAACGTTTCTCAACAGAAGAGACAGTACTGTAGGCTGTAATAAAAAAAAAACAAAAAAAAAAACCAAAAAAATAAACCAGTTACTTTCTGGGAGCTCAGGCTGCCTCCATAGGGCAGAGGGATTTCGAATAGACCTCCCAGGTTACAGGGCAACATTGTTTGTGGAAGCAGACAATGAAGGCGAAGCCTTTCAAAAGTCTCCTATAAGGTTTAAGTTTACATCCTGAACTGTAAGACCTATCTTCTTCCTTGACTCCTTCAAAAAGATGGATTGGATTGAGATCCAAGGATGAGATTGGATTTGGCTGCCAATCTCATCAACAAAAGAAACTGGGATCTTAGGGCTGTCTTAGCTATGAACGGAATTAACCCAGTTCAGTTCAACATTAGAGATTTAGTCCTGCCAATTCCCCAACAGCATTATTTACAAAAGCTAAAAAATCCTACAAAACCACAGGATTTTTTTTTTTAAAGTAGATCTTGGAATAAAATTCAGGTTTCTGACATCATGGTTTTATCTATTATATTATGCCACCCACTGCTGGGCGCGGTGGCTCACGCCTGTAATCCTAGTACTTTGGGAGGCTGAGGCAGGCGGATCACATCAGGAGATCGAGACCATCCTGGCCAACATGGTGAAACCCCGTCTCTACCCAGAATACAAAAATTAGCTGGACATGGTGGCACAAACCTGTAGTCCCAGCTACTCGGGAGGCTGAGGCAGGAGAATCGCTTGAACCCCAGGCGGAGGTTGCAGTGAGCTGAGATCGTGCCACTGCACTCCAGCCTGGGCAACAAAGCGAGACTCCGTCTCAAAAAAAGTCTCCTGATGGTTTCTTTATTTAATAACCTCAGGGTGAAACAATGGCTGATTCAGGGAGTTTTTTGTTTTGTTTTGTTTTTGGAGGGATAAGGGTGAGGGTGAGCTACAATAGTTAATTATTGTGTAGTTATCTGCCATCACCATGCCAAAAATAAAACAACAGAATTAATTATTAAGTAACCAATTTGGTAATTTCAGGTAGGTACTACTAAAATACTGACACTTTCACCTGACCAAGGTTTTCTATTTTTAAAAAATCCCCATAAGGAACTGTTACAGGAAAATGAAGAAGATGTATCTCTCAGACACACTAGCTAGAAGGTTAATAGCATAATTTCTCTACAATCTGCTGTTTACCATAATTAACAACACAACTAATATTAATAAGTTATTAAGCATCCAAAATATATTAAGCAGTATTCACTTCTTAACTAGAAAATGCCCATATAAACAAATAGATGACATTTTAGCACTTTTAAAAATAATAAATACAGATGACCACCACAACTTCTACACTGAACATAATTTGCTTCTGTACTGATGGAGATTTTAAGTTCTCGATTTCCAACATCTTTATTGTTTAGAATAGCTAAGTACCCACAAGGAGTTTCTGAAGAGAATATTCTTATCACAACCCTCTCTTAGGTGCCAGTAATCTAGTCCAAGGAAGTAACAGAGAAGACAACCTGGCTACTCCATTGTGGAAAGACACCCACATTCTCTTCTTACAAAGTGGAGTCAGGCATTGTTCTAATAAGAGCCCTTAGGGTAAGGGTCAAATCCTGGATTCTAGGGCAAATGCTCTCCCTCATTAAATGTGTGACCTCCACCACATCTTAACCTCGTTCATCTCCATTTCCTCACCTGTATCAAAAGGGAGAGGATGGCAGTACCTGTCCTGGGTGCCCAATCTCAACACTGCCTTGAGGAGCAAGTACCATTATGTCAGCCACAGTGTTTTGTGATTGGTGACATGCTATTGGAATGTACTGCAGCTGTCACGATTTTTAGTCATTTTGGATGAGGATGGAAGAATGATAAGAAGGTTTAAATCAAGGAAGCAGTTCTACGTTGCTGGCAACCTGAGCTCAGACTAAAGACAGTTTTCAACACTTCCCAACCTAACATCCATAGCAGTTATGGTTTAGTGAAGGAAGTCACACCCTGGGCTTGTCTTGTGTCCTGTTCTTTGGCATGAGTTAACCTGGAGGACAAATCTGACGACAGCTTGCTATGCCAGAGGACAGGGTTATTGGTGAAGGCGAAGTACGAAGAACACTGGGTAATAAGAACCCAAGAGGTCAGCGAGAGGTCTGTCCCCATTTGCCTTCCAAAATTACCCTTTTAGGTTAGGGCAGACTGCAAATTCTAAACGATGGTCATGGTTGGGGAAACTGTCCGAGTTCAGCCAGCTCTCTGAGCTCAGCATTGCCTGGGATCTGGGGAAATGTCTATAGGAGCCAACACTGTGGCAAGAACATTTGTTCTTTCCCAAGAAGGCAAAGGAGGATGACTCACAGCTTCTTACCACAGCTTGCTTTCATTTTCCTCCCCTTCACCCTCCCTACACCTTGTCTGATGGTCAAATTTCACTATTCTTGGCTTCACAGCAATTTTTTTGCCCTCATAAAAGACAGGATTTTGTAGAAATCCATTCCAAAGGTAGATAGGAGTGCAGTAATGAAACTTTATTCACTTTAAATTTTAAAATGCCTATTTCTATTTTAAAATTTAAATTTTCTATTAAGTTTGCATTTGCCTTCTACCTAGTTATGAGTGGACTGCACAGGGTCTTCTACCTTCCACTTTTTCTCTCTCTTCTTTTTTGGCTTTTAAAAAGGAAGGGGCCGGGTGTGGTGGCTCATGCCTGTAATCCCAGCACTTTGGAAGGCTGAAGCAGGTGGATCACCTGAGGTCAGGAGTTTGAGACCAGCCTGGCCAACATAGTGAAACCCTGTCTCCACTAAAAATACAAAGATTAGCTGGGTATGGTAGCGCCTGCCTGTAATCCCAGCTACTCAGGAGGCTGAGGTAGGAGAATTGCTTGAACCTGGGACATGGAGGTTGCAGTGAGCAGAGATCGTGCCACTGCACTCCAGCCTGGGTGACAGAGTGAGACCCCATCTCAAAAAAAGAAAAGAAAGAAAGAAAGAAAAGAAAAAGAAAAGAAGGGAAGGGAAGGGAATGATTCAATGAGAGTAAAGTAATGGAGAACTTCAGTACGATGTTGCATCACAAGAGGTAACAACAAACTCACCTATTATCTAAATGAAAACTGCTGTTAAAGAACTCCTGATAAAGTAGCATGCTTACACTAACCAGAGGAACTAGCGTTGCTATATAGATGTGTGTATGTGTTTGTGGGGAGGATGGGATGGGGGTTCTCTATTAGAGAGGGGCTCTGTTATAATCAGGAGACCCCACATGTATTGCTTTGTAGTTAACAGCCTTTCTTGCCCTTTTCTTTATGTAAGTTTTATGGTCCTTCACATCCGTGACTCCAAATCCACAGATCTGTGCCACACATCAGCTTTCAGAATTGAGTATGCAGAACACCGAGTCCCACAGACCATTTGTGGAGTGCCCGGATTAGAATCCCAGTTTGTCTGGCTCCATGGGTCTCCTGAACCCTTTAACCTTTTAACAAAGGATGATGTGTATCATATTCCATACCATATATTAGGTAAAAGAGGGAGTATGTTTAACTCTCATTTGAACTGAGTCTGGGTAAAGTGAGGGACTCTAGGGCCAAGTTTTAAACACTTTCCCATAGGATACTATGAGCACCCAGAAAAAGTATAATCCTCCTAATAAATAAGGAAAACAAAAGGGCCAGAGAAAAACCTCCCACCTTCTTGCAGGTTAGCTGGTGACTCTGCTGATCACCTACAGCGCCTGGGTGAGAGCCAGGACTGCCCATTATAGGCACACATTCTGGAGTCCAGGCATGGAGTGTTCCTTCTATGCATGATTCATGTTTCCTTGAAATCATCACTTACAGCGTCGCACATTTTTTAATGCCTTTACCTCCATTGAACGCAGAGGTTTTTTAACAGTTGAGACCAGGACTTGGCAGACTCAAGTTTGGCCAGGGCTCTGTGGCCGGGCAGGGGATGCCGGGCACACGGACGCCAGCACCTGGGAAAGGTTAGCCGCTCGTCTCTACAAGTCCCGGGGTTGTGCTTCCTGCACCCTTTCCTAAATGACCTGGGTGCTGAGCCCCAGGTGATTCTGGTTACCTGCTCGTATTTCTCCAGCTCCGTATGGTAGATTTGTCTGATCTGTGAGAGTTTGGCTCTGTAATCTGAATGTTCCACTGAGTTGTCTGAACCTGCCCCTCCAGAAGCCGCCGCCGCTGCCGCTGCTGCCGCCGACCCTCCGCCCTTCTCAGGCCCCGCCACGCCTTCCGCTAACAGCATGTTGTCCAGCCGCATCAGCTGGGGATCTGTGGGCTCCTCCTCCTGGGCTCCTCGGATACTCAAAACTACAGAAAAGGACAAAGGGAAGAGAGCGTTAATAGTAACCCAAGAAAGAAAATTCAAAAACAAAACACATTTGTGTTCTTTGGCTAAATAAGCTGCCAAATTACTTGCAAGATGCCATTTGAGGAATAGAAGAAAGGCTGGAAAAAGAGAAACCGAGAGGGTGAGCAAACGAAGGAGGTACTTGCTTTCTTCCAAAATTACACTCCACTTGTATGTGGAATCTAGAATAATCACATTTATAAGAGGCAGAACGTAGAATCACGGGTACCATGAGTTGGGGGGAGGAGTGGGGAGCTATTGTTTAATGAGCACAGAATTTCACTTTGGGAAGCTGAGTTTTTGAGATGGCTGCAAAATAATACAAATGTACTTAATGTCACTCAACTGTACACTTAGAAATAGTTTAAAATGGTAAATTCGGCCGGGCGCGGTGGGTCACACCTGTAATCCCAGCACTTTAGGAGGCTGAGGCGGGTGGAACACAAAGTCAGGAGATCGAGACCATCCTGGCAAACATGTTGAAACCCCATCTCTACTAAAACACAAAAAATTAGCCAGGCTTGGTGGCGCACGCCTGTAGTCCCAGCTACTCGGGAGGCTGAGGGAGGGGAATACCTTGAACCCAGGAGGCGGAGGTTGCAGTGAGCCAAGATTGCACCACTCACTGCACTCTAGCCTGGGCAACAGAGTGAGACTCCATCTCAAAAAAAAAAAAAAAAAGGTGCACCAATTTTATTGCACTTAGCTTGCAATGAAGAGACTCCATCTCAAATGCAGACCTGGGCAACAGAGTGAGACTCCATCTCAAAAAAAAAAAAAAAAAAAAAAAAAGGTAAATTCTATCATATATATGTTTACCACAATAAAAATTTTCAATTAGAAAAATGTAATTATAACAAAATATATTTTTTACTTTTATCCCCATACTAATTTCAGTTTAAGGAAAAGCATTTCCCTCTTTCTCATTTTAAATTTCTGTAAGTTTGTGGTTTTGCACTCATTGCCTTTCTTTGCAATGTTTGATCAGTTTAAATTTTTCATTTCCAAAATCACCTAAGGTACATAAATCCAGTACATTTGGAATGAAATCTTAAGACCTTTCCTGTGGACTAGCAGAGGGTGAGGTCTAACATAGCAAGAAGACAAACTGGCCCTTGAGCAGGGTCGTTCAGCTCCAAAAATTGAGATCTATCTGTTCTGAGTGATAAGGACTCCGTCCTGTTGGAAACAAGGGTGAGGTCCTTTTAACAAGCTGTCTCCAGGGATTCGGGGAAGCCAGTGCTCTGGTAGGATGGCGTCTCAGATCAATGAGATGGCTGCTTTTTATTAAAACACCAGGACCCTTGGTGGTGATTTGGACTGAAGGAGATCCAGTGATTTAGTAAATCAGCAGAAGAGCGAGACAGTCTTTTTTTTACTACCCCTTCAGACAACCTCCCATAAAATAAATCACTCATCTAAATCCAGTTCGGTTGTCAGCAGCCAAGTCTTTGTTAAGAGGGAACATAAAAAGTGTTTTCAATGTTTAAGAAATTGAAAAGAATGTGTGGGTAGGGTGGGAAAGAGGAAGTGATTAAAGGCAGAGGAGAGGGGTCCGGTGTTGGCTCACATTTTGGGGATGGAGGTGGCAGGGTCTAAGTCCCTGGTGGATATTCGCACACCAGAGCAGAGTCAAGAGCCGTTTCATGGCAGGGTGCATCTGGTGAGCCCCAGAGGGAACGTGCCAGTTCCAGGTGTCTCCCCAGCCCTGGCAAAACAGGGCTGCGGGTTGTGACAGGGAAGGTGAAGATGAGTTCAATGAGGGTATGTCTAGATGTCTGAGTGTTCCATCACATATAATACCAGCATAACTGCTGGCTGTGCCCACATGCTCCTGGCTGCCAACAGGCAGCACAAGAACCAACCCTGAACGTTGTTCAGAAGAAATCCCAATTCCTAGGCCAAAAGGGAAACTACAGTATGGCTCTCACAAAACACGAGACCATCCAATGGAATAGTGAGCCATGTGGACCAGAGGTGGCCATAAGGAGCAAAGAGGACAAAAGGTGCAGAGCAGAAGCTTGGGCTCCGTGATGAAGTAAAAAAGGATGAGAGTAAGGGAAGGAGAGGGAGGGAGGAGGGAGAGCAAGTAGCTGGGAAGGAGAAAAGAAGGAAGCCCGCACCCTAGACACAAACCACAACGCTATCAGGTCATGATCTTTTCTCTTCAAACCTGAATGTGTAATATTCTGCTACACAAAAACAAAATTGCTACAGTAGTGATGGCAAAAGGTTAGGAGATCATTGAGGTTTATTTTGTGGACTTTTTTTCAATAAAATCCTTCTTTTGTAGGCTCAGCAGACTGAATGGGAAACTGCTTCCTTTAGCTGATCTTTGAATAATAAGGATTTAGTCACGTTATTGTTTCTCAAATTTATTTACTCAAATCTCCAAAGCACTCTGAAGAACAAATTGCCGCTAACAAAGGTTTCCTTAAGAAAGTAGATGGCTGCTGTAACCATTCCCTGAATACCAGGCCCTAAAGGCGCCGAAAAGAATCTGGTGCATCCAAGCATCCGGCAGCAGCCCCCAGCAGCCCCTCCTTCCTCACCTCTACGTGGGGTTTATGGTTGTTTCTCTTTATATGATAAATGTAATAGTCTTATCAACAAAGATATTTATGGGTCATTTACAAATGAGAAAAAAAAAAGAATCCCCTCTGAGCCATTCATAAATACAGTTCTTTCACTTTAGCTCAATTATTCAAAACATTGTGCTGGGGCAAAATTCTATTCTCTCATTCACTCTATTGAATCTCATGTCCAATATACTTCCTTCAGAAGAGGCCGTAAGCCCCCACGGCTGGTAGGAACATTCCCCGCGATGCTGAGGCTGGTAACCCTTCGGCCGGGTGTTAATGCCTTCACGTGGGTCCACCTGGCTGCTCCACAGCCAACGGGTCCTGCATGCAGCCCAACACTGAGAGATCTTAGGACAACCTCTGGTCTCAACAACAACAGCGAAGCAAAAAAGAATGATGTCCTATTAACTGTCAGGACTTGCCTTGCCAGGACTAGCTTAAGCACTGCCTACTTGAGGTAACATTAAGTATCCCACCTTCTCCAATCCCACGGGTACCCCAAGCGGCCTCATACATTCCATCAGCTTATTCCTCCAGCCAAACTCAGTGAGGCATGAAAGAAGGGAGAGGCGAGGCAGACAGACAGTTCTGGTCCTGGCTCCTCCAGGAGCTACGTAGGTGATCACGGGCACGTCACTATCAATATTTCCCGTGTACCTAATATTTACCTCTGAGAATATTTCCTCTTTCCAGCCCCTCTCAGTTTCACGCCTCTGCTCCATCTTTTTAAAACAATCAACGGGAAGCACAAACAATTCCACACAAACTCTACACACCTCCTAATTAATATTTTTCTTGGCCTTCAAATCTAACTGATTTTAAATAAAATAAGAAAGAAAATTGTCAAGGCTGGCAAAGAACACTGAAAGGATAGACTGCAAGCCCCTGCCCGCCATGGAAGTTTCAGGAGGGTTGCAGAGCTTAAAGCATAAAGCATACTGACTCTTTTCTTATCAGGTATGAAGGATACATTTAATTGAGCCCAGCGGCGGTGGGTCAGGTGGGGCAAGAAAGTGTTAGCATGTCGCTTAGCGTTTATATCATTTTATGAATCTTGCAAACAAATACTCCTTAAAAAGAAATTTGAATTCACTATGAGTTAATAGACTTAGTTTCTAAATGTGGCCAATTAGAAATTGATAAGATAGACACAGCACACCACAGCATAAATGTTGCTTGCATTTACACTCAGAGTCTGGGACACATAAATAGGTCCCAAATCAGAGATCTGAAAAAAATAAAAGAAAAAAAAGGGGGGGGGGGGGGAAACAACAGTCATTTCCAAATTACACCCTTTAAATTATACTCAAATTATGAAAATAGAAAATGATTGTGCAAGAACCCAGAAAAGAATTTTTTTAAGGAACAATATGAACAAGGGAAAACCTTAAAAGAAAACCTTCATCTTGCACTATTTTGCATAGACAATTCAGTTCTGGTGGATTTGGGCTGTGTCTGTAATGTTTGGAGGGGGCAGAGATGGCCCAATAAGCAACCTTGCATGCTCATATTTATAGCCAGCACAAGGAGAATCCAAATATACCACTATTAAGAATGGGTGTTGGGCTTCACTGATACAGAAACTGTTCAGCTCGGTGGTTAAAAAAACTCCCACCAACATTAAATAAATAAATGAAAAGGGTGATCTGTCTAAGCAGAACTGATGCTACCTATTTATTGCTTGAAGCCAGTACTCTGGTGAGTAGGAGACAAAATGATTATTTAAAAGCTCCTTTTTATCTCTGCAGCACCATGCAAGACTCGAATGAACCTTCCGCCAGGACACCAGAGATGTTAACACTCATCCTCCAAGATCCAATTTCAACCAGCGGAGCTGTTACCTAATCCAGCAACCATCACATATGATCAGGTTCCTGCTTCCCTGATGGGTGCCCTGCGCTTTCTCCCTCCTCCTCATTTCTTCTCTCCCCACCTCAGCAGCTTTTCTGTGAAATAGGTTTTAAAGGGCCAAATCCCCTGTTCGTCCCCATGCATATAGGGTTTTAATGGCCAGGCAGGCCTGGACGCATCCACTACCCCAAAAATGTCATTGATTGCAGTGGATATGCAATCTGCAGAGGGGTTGCACCCATGAATATCTTTAACCCATTTGGTAACAATTTTTATAGAAGGAGTTTCCTTCTCACAAATCCACCCAATTATGGAAGAGACCAGTTGAGACACGTAGGTTATTTATACAGGAATTGTCACAAGCCCTTTAAAAAGCTTCTGATGTCACATGTACCTTGCTGCCATCGCTTGCCCTGGGGTTAATTCTTTGGTAAAACTCCTAAGATAAGGGGACTGTCACAGCATTGTGGCAGCTGCTCTCACCACTTGTCTCCTGCTGTTCTTTCTTTCTTTTCCTTCACACAAGG